ATTCCGGCATCATGCAATAGAAAATTGGGCAACAAAATGTGAGTCTTTGATCAAAGCCACATAATAAAAGTTCAGACAAGGATGACTGAAGATCACAAAATGTGGATAAAAGATATCTGAATAAAGGCTAAAATACACGACAGGGAGGAGAAACAAATAAATGACAGTACTGTCCAACGAAATGCTGCAAATGGATTTTCAATGTTTTCTTTCCATTACATTCTTATAAATTCCATAAGTCTCGAATACCTTCCCGGATTCGACATGGACTCCAACCGACAAGATTTCCGGAGGAGAGGGATAACCGGGTGTCAGTGAACCAATACTGAATATTGGCTGAGTCATCGTCTATGCTGAAAGTATTCTTGCCCTAGCATACTGAACACCGAACGCTGCATGATTGGTCAAACGAGGACCAACGAAGAATAACTAATAGACAGCATGAGTCAGCTAACACGGTAGAATGACCGTGTTAGATTCTTTTGAAATCTGTTCAAATAACTATGTATCATTCTTCTGGTAAGCTTGTATCTGTTCTGTATGTTGTCGGAGCAGGATATGCTAGAATCGAGTAAGTTGTGTTTAGGCTATGGGTTTACTAAGTGACTTGGAGTTGACAAAAAACTGATTGAGTTGTCACATCATTCCAATCAACTCTGGTAGATTGAGAATACCGAATGAATAATATAGATAGTATTGTATTACCGGATAATTACAAGGGCCCACAGATTTAAATAAGCGCAACATAAAGTCACTATGGGAACCCTAAACGGAAATTAAAACACAGTGTTTCTAAGGCTAGAAAACTGTTACACGTGAACGAAGAATAAATGAAAGGTAACTACTAGGAATTATTTATGGATTATTATTATATATGTTCTTGTGAGATGACTATTCAGTAACTAGGTTATATGTAAATTCATATTTTTTTCATCATAAGCATCATTTGACCTATTAGCTACTGTTAGACGATTTGCCATCCTTAATTTATTTCTAAATTACTAGGTACAGTCTCTCATACTCACAGCCACTCTTGGCTTTCCCTTGTATAATTATTGCCTTTGATTTTGCGATTTAATGCGGTTTAGTCTACCTGTATATGAACAACGTATGTCCGAAATATACCATGCATACATCAGAGGCTGATATTTGTGTTCCAAACTGAAGAGGCTGTACTAGGCGAAAAGTTATTGTGCAGAGAAACAACAAAGAGTCAGAGTTGACTTGAGGTTACTCGTGCCGGTGAACATATCATTAGTTTGGATCCGAGAAAATGTTATATAAGTTGATGTTCTAACTGGCAATCTCGTTACATGATAATTGACACGGCCATAAGACATAACTACAACAAATATTGTCGAATTAGACAAATAACCAGTGCTGTTGAATCAAGCGCAGATGAGCTTGAAATATAAGTCTTCATTCATTACCGGCAAATGCGATAAATAATAGCCCCAGCGTTAACAGAATAATTACCTGCCACAGCTTAGGTTGACTGGTTAAGAGTTGACCTCAAACAAATAAGTATATGTCAAAACAATAGAGCTCAAGTATTAATTCACTTTCTTATCTTGGATAGGCATCATATTTCCTATAATCTTATACTGAATGGCGAAAAGCTTTGTTTGTCTGAACAGGTAGTCCAACACTCCACTGTTACTACGTGACGATCTAAATAAAGACCTATTCACTACTAGTCTGGTTTCTTCTATCAGTAACACGAGGGCATGTAGTGGCATTAGGCCCTAACCACACAATCCTCAAAGCTGAACACGAGACACTTAGGAAGATAGATGTTCAACATTTAACGCGGAGAAAAACCCAACGATGGAGAAGGCCGGAACAATGAATAAATTGAATTCAGTTAATTAGGATTGATCAAGTGGCACTGCTCGGCCTTGCAGGCGTGGTCCCCTTTTAATGTTACCCTATATATTTTATATTAAATATATTGTTCTATCTCTAGCCTAAACTTGTTCTCCATCATGTATTTGTAATTGTCACGATGCGATGAGTCAGTGTGACTTCCACGTAAGATCTAATAAATTGGGCAGTTATATCATGACAAATCTACAATTTTAGGATTAGGTCTACTATCAGAGCATATTGGGAACATCCCCAGAACTCACTTGGGAAAGAACCCAATTTTGTAATTTTATTTAGAAAATTTGAGTTTTTTTGTTGTCGCGCCAAAAGCGTTCTTGTCACCTTCATGTTGTATTTACCACGGAGAAATATCTTAAATGCTATTGGTCCGTTGCGTCTTTTAGTATGCTATTTGGTAACTCTCCCCAGGGACGGTTTTGTGCTGTATATATACGTTTTGAATTGTGTTTGTTGTTATCACTCGTTTCTGGCTGTTTGCAGAATATGCTTTCATATTCCAAGCTTGAACGTCTTCCTCTAGTTAGTGGAGCTGGGACTCATCAGTAGCTAGCTTACTGGTCTTTGGTCACCGAATCTTGTTTCTTGTTCGCAGATTAAGTGAACTCTTGATAGCTTAAACCCTAGCACAGCAGTACTAATATCATAGTAGACCATAATTGCACAGGTTACCTACAGGCACGGGAGCCCGACGTGATACCCGACGAAATACTCACAATATCCAACATGACAGAACAGTTAATACTTCAGTGTCAGCAACAAATTCAAAAACCATAAATTATTAAAGGACGTGTACAATATTTCAAAACGTTTAAGTCCGAACCTCTGTCACTGAGCATATGGCTGTTCAGTAACGGCTGGATTATGGCTGTTGTGGGAGAGAAAGAGTAGTTACTAGCCACTACAAGTCTGTGAATTGCACTAATAAATTATGGCAGCAGTTGGATATAAACCAGTTTGAAGGCTTCCTCAAAACAACTAAGCTTCGTTTAGAAATCCTAAACATGAACCACTACTGTAAATTTGTACGCTCAGATGTTTCCCTTGGTTCCTCAGTGATATTCCTAACGCCGAATTTCGTCAAAAACAGACTACCTCATCGCGAATTCGAATCGAAAATTAATTTACATATACGTTTCTCTTATAAATCCAGAATGAATATATATCACCTGTACGCTCCCCATTACTGTATGTCTCATAGATTCCGTGCAGATTTCGACATAAAAAACACGTCTCAGTTACTCTTCAGCCTGGACCGCTGTGACTTGATCAGAAGACATTCTTGTGTTCTAGTAGTCTAACAACAACGTACGGTGTCCAGAGCGAGATAATATTAAGAATATGCTAGCTAGAAAGCTATCTAAATGAGATGTAACCAAGTCATCTTTGGTCAAGCTATGTAAATCGAAACAATTTACAATATTTTGATGAGTTCCCTTGTTTTGGCCAACTAACTGTAAGTCATTGGACAACGAAGACTATTCTTTAGACTGAAATCACTATTCCACCACACAAATTATCAGGCAATCAATAGTGAGTTGAAAGCGCACACGCAACAAACATTATAGGGAATGATAGTCTCTAGGAGGTCTACAGCGAAGTCAGCTACCCAACACTCTAGCATGAAAATCTGGGTGGATTTTAACCTAGTTCACATAGAGCAACATCAACAATATAAGGGCAGCATAAGCAAGTATATTTAGGCCAGTTGAAATACCAGCAACTGTAAGAAAGCTGTAATCAAATGTAACAATCCTCCACCGTTCACAGAAATAACGGAAACAATGCTTGTCTTGCCACTATCGTTTGACCCTGACTTGCATGCATGATAACGCCAGGCCCCCATCGCTTTTTTCAAATGAAATTTCAACTGGTAATCGTCAGTGTTAGGATTTGAGAATAAGGACACCGATTTTTGGTCAACAGTTACGAATAATGATGCTTGGTACTGGAGAAGGGTTTGTTGACGTCTCTCCGACTCCCAAATTTTAAGCGTAGCATACATGTTGGGAATCATATGCTCTAATAATTCATTAGTGTCCGGTAAGTCCTTCAAAAGGTGATCCGAGACGCCAATCTAGATGGAGAATGATATTTATGCAAAGATAAATACTTCTGATGTCGAAACATCATACAGGTCGATCACGTTCCATTCTTTTTGACCAGTATGTCAGGACTAATGTAGTTGCACAGGGCTTCATCCTTAGACCAGTTTTCTGCTCATTCTTTATTAGTGATTTCCAAGCATGCATTTTGTTTTGTATTTATTTAGCCAATGATATGGCAATATATGGATATCGTTAAGATTTACTGGTTCTTGTATGTAGTCTGTGACAAGGTAGCTAGCAACGTGCTTCCATTAAAGAATAATGAATGGTAAGTGCTACTCACTTGAAATAACCGTAGGCATAGCCTGGATTTACCGAGTGACTTCAATATGATAATCTTATTCCCATATCATCTGAAACTGTTTGTAGTAAGAGGAAGATCCATATTTCCCGAAAGCTTTAGTTTTAACGTACTTTTATTCCAAGAAATGCGTTTTTTTTAAGTTAGTCCAGAAGACATTCATGAGGCACTTGAACTAAGAAACTAATCCCGATTCGATGACTGAAAGCACCGAAACTTCACCGTGTCAATGATCAAAGATTTAAAGAAGATTCGGCGACGGTTCCCTATACAGACTGCTATATCTGACATTCTCCACTCACAAACTATTGTTCATAAGAGCACTTAGTAAAAGAGCATCCAAGGTCCGAATACAGAAAGTTGGCTCAAAAGTATGTGAAAATGTGGCAAAATTCTTCAGGCAGTTCAACGTTTTGTGAGAAAAGATGAAAATGTATCAGTATTAACTCAGTAGAAAACTGTATACACTTTGAAATAAGTGTGGTTTGACCTTTACTCAAGTGCCCCTACACTGGTCAGTTTTAACTGGATTCTTGAAGAATCGGTACATGTATTTGTACAAAATAATTACAAGAATAGGGCATAATCATTATATAAAGGAAATGTTTTGTTCAACTCTGTGTATGCTGTAATTCACATTTTTCAGGGGTTTTGTTTGTATCACTACATTCTTCTAGCGCCCTAGTCAGTCTCGACCTCCATTTGTCATGAATGCGTCGGACTTATCGATTATAGGATGTCGCGTCATTATAATATCTAAGGCTAAGATAAGATATGAGGGGAACCTTCACTCCATAGATTTTGACACGCCCAATGAACCTGTTATTACTCTTTCAAAGGGTACTAAATGTTCTTTCTTAGTTTCATTATTACAGTTTGGTCTTTTGGCACTGAGGACCGCCCTTGTGAGCGACCAGTTGCTCCTCGGAATGAAGAGTATAATCAGGTGGTGTTTCGTGGCCGGGATCTAGACGATGTACGTGTCGTTCAATCTTCTGTATTTTTAAATGAAGACTCAGCAATCGTTAGTGCAGCACCTGGGGTATGTTCTTTCTGTACTTATTTATGTAACCAGTCTGCTTCGTCCCACCCTCCTGGACTCCCAGTAAATGAAATTAGAGGTCGCTTGGGTGGGTTTTCATTTTGTTACTCTATTCCTTGCAGATCTTAATCCTAGTCGTGTTTCTACTGGATGCTCAGAATTGTCTCCCATACCAGCATCTCAATCTGTCTCACTTGATAGCCTAAATCAGAATACCTACCCGAACAGTTCTTCGTACCAGATGCCTGCAGTTGGTTGTCGGCCGGCTCCTATAGGGACCGTTCATGCTGATAGCCCCCAGGTTTCTGATACACGTGGCCAAAGACCATTTGGGGATATGCGTAGCGACATAGACCCAGGGATTTTCAGCACATCTGGAAGAGGAGGTACAAGTTCTAGGGATATTCAAGAGTCTGGAATAGGTACTTCTAGACATCGTGCTGTCTTAGGATCTGGTGTGCATAACGACTATCCACAGCCATGGGCTAATCGAGAACAAGGGGTTAGAAAGGGTGACACTCACAAAAATACACCTAATTATTATCAGGGGAATGATTACTCAAGAGATAGACGCGGAGGATATAGTCAACAATGGTCAGCAAACCATCGTGGCTCCAGGGGTTCTGGGCATACTTATGGTGGTTGGGGTGGTCGGTCAGCGGGTGGTCATGATTGGCCTAAATTCAGGTCAAATGCATCTACAGTAAATGAGCACACCAACTTTTCGGTAGAATATGACTATGAAAGAGCTAACGCAGAACTTGCAGCTGAGTTGGAAAAAATAACGATCAGCACTGTAAGTGTTGGATATACTGTGATTTCTGTTTATAGAAAACAGGTTCGTCAGGTACTTCCGTCGACAACGCGGAAAATGATGGTAGCAGCACAACTGAGGATGAAAACACGTGCTATGATAAATCCAAGTCGTTTTTCGATACTATTAGTTCCGAAATGATGGACCGCGCAAATGGGTAACTAATAATTTCATTTGAAATTCTGAGTGTGCGAAGTATAACCTTATTTCTTTTTTCAAAATATGCCTTTAAGACAACGTGTTTTGTCAATTTTTCATGTCAGAAAGTATTTCGATACCTGCCGTAAACTACACAAGCACCAATTTGATAGTTGAATTTAGTTTGTATTCACAACCGATCTAAGGATTTTGTAGTTTCCTTACTCTCTGCGCTTATATATATATATATATATATATATATATATATATATATATATATATATATATATATATTACAGCCATTGGCATACCATTGGGTCTTAAACAACATCAACGTTGATACTAAAGTACATTCCAGTAATCTTTTCGACTTGAATTCTCACAGTACCTTTTATGAGCGTATCATGCCTTATCGATAAAGTCAAGAGACAATGACCATTGATGTCGAGATATCTGATTTTCAACTTTAGGGTTGGCGACTAAAACTTTGCTCTAGTTTAGTTTGTGTACTTGGATAATGTATTTTCTGGATACGTGAAGTTGAGTGCATAAATATCTGCTTTGTTGTCGAATTACATAAGACTGTTTTACAGCGCTGGTAACTACAACTAAATTCACGTACATGCTTAACATTGTTAGCGTAAGTATTTTGATAATAAGCCGTTAACTGTAAACAAAGCAAATCCCACCTCTCAGAATTAAGTTACTAGTAACATTTCAAACTGATATAAGCCTCCAAATATTTACAACTAACTTTGTGGGACTAATTTTCGTGGCAGTCAGAAGAAGGTGGCGTTGAGATCATACGTGACTTTTTATCCCAAGTCTTATTCAGTTCATTGAGTAATATTAGTAATCTATTACATCTAGTATTGCAATCCACTGTGTAGCTCTCGTGGGGATCGTGTCATGTACTGTGAATAGAATATGCTAGTAGTTAAAACGTATGTGAATATTGTTGTTCTTATTCAGTCAAGTTTGGAGCTTTGTTATGCCCCGATAAGAACAATGAGTGGTAATTTTTGGGATCCATTTGTCAGTCAGTCAGTCAGTCAGATCTTAATCCTAGTCGTGTTTCTACTGGATGCTCAGAATTGTCTCCAAATCAATGGTGCACATGGGCTCCAGTATCCTGCGGGAACGAATGGCGTATGAACCAATCGTTGGTCACCGGCTACCATGGGACTGCATCTCCTTACGATGCTCCACTGCCTTGTGGGTTAGACCTTTAGGTCAAAGGCTCGGGGAGTGGCCCCCTAAGATAACCACCTGCTTCGGTTTGGGCACCCGGGCAGTATCACAGCCCACACACAAATTGATGAACTCTTTATGCCTATGGAAATTACCTTTCTCGCTTTGAAAAACAAACAATTGATTCAGATTATTATCATTACAATTATTGTCATTATTAATACTAATATTATTATTACTACTATTATTGTCATTATTATTATTATTATTATTATCCACATTATTCACCCTCTTTTATACTTATACAGCGGCTCGTCTTTGGTGGAAATCCGACTGTATCTAAACGTTCTCGAGTCACTGTCCGGTTGAAAATTGTATGTTACCACCGAATACGAGGACTGAAGCAGATTTTCTGAAACCACGTGCACCATTCAAACTGGCTGCCTTCAACGTTCGCACATTTATGCAGGGCGGACAACAGATAGGGCTGGCTATGTCTTTGGAAAGTCTTAATATCGACGTGTGTTGTCTATCCGAGACCCGTACTCAAGACTCTGGCGAAGTACTACAAATTCGATCTCCATCTGTCGCTTCGAAAAGCTTGTTTTACGTGCGCTTATCCGGGGACCCTGTGGCATCTTCGTCTGGTCTTGCTGGCGTTGGTGTCGCACTGAGCGCTAGAGCTGAGGCAGCACTAGTCGATTGGATCCCCATTAACAGTCGGTTATGTGCTGTTAGATTAGAAAGTTCCATCAAAGTGAGAAGAAATCGGCGTGAGAAACGATGTCTTTTCGTCATCTCCGCCTATGCCCCGACAGATTGCAGCCCGGATGCAATCAAGGATGAGTTTTACCACCAGTTATCAGTTCTTCTCCAGAAAGTGCGTTCGACAGATATTGTAGTACTAGCCGGAGACTTGAATGCTCAGGTCGGGCGTCTAGGCACAGAAGAGAGTCGTTTAGGTGGCCGATGGGGACTCGTTGGTCGCAGGTCAGATAACGGGGACCGTCTACTGCAACTGTGCACAGACCACAACCTGTTTCTGGCTAGCACTAACTTTCGGCACAGTCATCGCCGATGTGCCACCTGGCGTCCTCCCTCTGCATCTCAAGCCTGGACTCAGATTGATCACATCGCGATCAGCTACCGCTGGCGTGGTTGTGTACAAGACTGCCGCTCCTTTTGGAGTACCTATCTGGACTCTGACCATGCCTTGGTCTGCGCCAATCTTGCCTTACTTTTCAGTGGACAACGAAGTGAACGCCATCAACGGATTGATGTTAGCAAGCTGGTTGCAACTTCTGTTGCAAGTAAGTATCGAACCGAGCTAGCCTCTAGGCTAGCTACCACTCCACCGAAAAGTATAGATGAGCATTGGTTGCAATTGCATGACGCCATGAAAATGGCGGGAACAGTCAGTTGTGGGGTTGCGAAACGTCCCGCTTTTAAGCACTGGGTTTCTTCTGGTTCCTTACAACTCATTGAAGCCCGTCGGTCTACTCCGGGTGACCGTGAGTTTGACCATAAACGAAGGATGTTACGTAAGGAAATTGGGCAAAGCTTGCGTAAGGACCGAGAAGCCTGGTGGTCGATGCGTGCTAATGAGCTGGAAGCAGCAGCTGCATCTGGTAACTGCCGGAAGCTCTTCCAACTCATCCGAGCCACTGGCAGCAAGAAGTCCGGTGTGAGTGAAACAATCTGCGAGGATGATGGGATGCCAATCACTAACATCCATCGACGTCTTGGACGATGGGCAGAATTTTTCGAAGGGCAGTTCAACTGGCCTGCTGCTCCGGCAACATCGGTCAGACTGTCCTGCCCTCCATGGTCGGTGACGACTGATCCACCAAATGAGGAGGAAGTCCGCAAGGAACTCCAACTCTTGAAGCGTTACAAATCACCTGGCCCAGATGACTTACCTCCGGCTCTTTTTAAAGATGGTGGTGACTTTTTGACTAAGGAATTGACGTTGTTTACAAAGGTTTGGGAACTAGAGAGTGTTCCAACGTCATGGAATGAGTCGATAGTTGTCCCTATCTTTAAAAAGGGTTCACATCGTTCCTGTAAAAACTATCGGGGGATAAGTTTACTTCCGATTGCGTCCAAGCTATCGGCTTCCGTCATACTTCGTAGGTTGTTCAAAACACGAGAAAGATTGACTCGCGAGGAGCAGGCTGGGTTTCGTTCTGGTCGAGGATGTATTGATCATATCTTCACCCTCCGCCAAATGTTAGAACACCGCCATACTTATCAAAGGCCAACAATCGTAGTGTTTCTTGACATCAGGGCTGCCTTCGATTCGTTGGACAGGACTGTTCTCTGGGATTGTCTATTGAAGAAGGGTGTGTCTGAGAAGTTTAATAACATTCGAAAAGCCCTATATACAAACACCTCAGGCAGAGTGAGGGCATACAACCACCTCTCTCCATTGTTCCACTCGAGCAGTAGGGTTATGCAGGGTTGCCCGATCTCACCATTCCTCTTCAACTTTGCCATCGATGACATTCTGGAAACAGCTCTGATGGATGTAAGTAATGGTGGTGTGGATCTGTTGCCTGGAGAAAGACTTCTCGACCTTGAGTATGCGGATGATATTGTCTTACTGTGCGATGATGCCCAAGCCATGCAAGCCGCACTTAATCAGTTGGCAATCAGTGTCCGTAGGTATGGTATGTGCTTTGCACCTTCGAAGTGCAAAGTACTTCTACAAGACTGGCAGGATTCTAATCCTGTACTCACCCTGGATGGTGAGCAGATAGACGTAGTTGAGAAGTTCGTGTGTCTGGGTAGCTGCATAGGTGCTGGTGGGGGTGTGAGTGATGAGATCAATGCACGAATAGTGAAAGCCAGAGCTGCTCCTGGCAATCTGGGCCACCTTTGGCGCCTTCGTGATGTTAGTCTGGCTGTGAAAGGTCGGATCTACAACGCGTCGGTGAGAGCAGTTTTGCTCTATGCTTGTGAAACCTGGCCTCTCCGAGTTGAGGACGTTAGACGACTCTCTGTGTTCGATCATCGCTGTCTCCGAAGGATTGCTGACATTCAGTGGCAACACCATGTCAGTAATGCAGAGGTTCGGCATCGTGTGTTCGGGCACAGAGATGATAACTCAATTGGTGTCACCATCTTGAAACACCGACTTCGGTGGCTTGGACATGTTCTCTGAATGTCGTCCCAGAGAATTCCACGTCGTGCATTATTTGCCGACTCTGGGACTGGTTGGAAGAAGCGGAGAGGTGGTCAGTGCATGACATGGTGTCGTGGCATGAAAGAAAGCTGCAAAGGACTGGCTTGTGTTGGTCCTTCACGACTCCCTGGCTGGGGTCCGAGAGATGGTGCTACACAGTGGCTAGAGACGTTATCAGATATGGCTCAGAATAGAAGCCAGTGGCGATCCTGCTGTAACCTTCTTTTACTTTCTTCATAAAAAGTGGTTGTGTCTCCTTTACCTGAAAGATTTCTTCTGATTGTACCTTTTCGTTCCGTCGTTACTACCACACTACCTTACTCCAATCTCCTCGTCATTGTTCTCTTTTTCTTTTGCGTTCCTTAGTTTTTTTTTCTTCTTTCTACTTCTCTTCGAATTCCCATTGTTTTGTGTGGCGCATATATATTGGCGCTCTATTGTACCAATATTTATGTGTTCAAATAAATAAATAAATAAACAGTCAGTCAGTCAGTCAGCTACAACGTAGGACCAGGCACATATGTGCATCGGTCCAGGTTGCCATACCGCATCAGCACAACAAGATGAACACCGGATTCATAGCAGTGGTTAGGTCAAAGGTAGTAATATGTAAGAGAAAGATGGCATATAGAGATATAGTACAAGAAGAAAGAATTGGTTCGTAGAAAGAAAGATATGAAGCGATTTTAATCTCTTAGTTTAAGGGAAGACAGGGAGTGTATACACCGACGCCATTGTGATCGGTTCTGAGCCATGTCACCAAGAGTCTCCAACCATTGGTTACGAAAGTCACGCGGACCCCAACCAAGTAGTCTGCATCTACCAACATGGTTCAGACTAGAAGTTAGTGACTTCAAGCACTGATGCCACGTTTTGGTTTGGCCGCCCCTAACTTTCTTCCAACCATCTCCAATACCGGATAGCATTGCACGTCGTGGTAATCGGTATTCAGGCATACGTAACACGTGGCCCAACCATCTCAGTCGATGAAGATTCATAACCTCATCAACTGATTTACCATCATTCCCTAATACCCTGCGTCTAACCTCACTATTACTTACCCGGTGATCCCAACAGACGCCAGCAATATTTCTAAGGCATCTGTGGTCAAATACTAGTAGCTTACGAGTGTCTTCTACTCTTAATGGCCATGTTTCGCTGCCGTAAATTAAAACAGAACGGACTGCCGCGCAGTATACTCGTCCTTTTATTGATAGACGGATATCTCGCCTTCGCCATAGGTGGCGCAAGTTGGCAAAAGCCAATCGAGCTTTTCGAATCCGTGCTGAGATTTCGTCCGATACCAACCCATTAGGGCTGATCAGACTTCCAAGATAAGTGAAGTTGTCAACGCGTTCGACTACTTCACTCCCTATCCTTAGTTCAGGTGTTAACGCAGACCAGTCCTGAAGCAACAACTTGCATTTAGAGGGAGAGAAGCTAGGATCTATTTGTGGACCAATACTATACGTAAATTTTTACCGTATAATTGTTAATTAACTAAACTATTCATATTCATGTCTCTTATCATAAGCTTTATTTTAACCTATAAACTGTTATTATACAATTTTCCATTCTTGAATTATTCCGTCTATTAGTCACTGCCTCCCTCATTCACAGCCACATCTGGCTAATTCTTGTACAAATGTTTTATATTTTATTGGTACGTTGTGGTCTGTTTGATTGGTATATAAACTCAGTATGTTTGAAATATGATTCATGTTACAGGCTGAGACTGGTGTTCTGAACTGGCTGGGCTAGGCGGAAAGCAGGACCAATCAGGACTCTAGGCTGCTTGCACGTGTTTTACGCGTCCTTGGTCCGGTCGATAATTCGCTGCTTTTGATTGGCGGCTTTGGGCTATAACAAGCTTTGAGGTTTGGTTCACTTAACACCCGAAACGTGATCATTTTCCCTTCCCAACACTGCTGATTGTATTCGTTCATTCATAATATAAAATTTTTTATAAGCTAGGTTTTCTGGAGTGGAGTATTCTAAATTTGTTAGGTTGTTATACTTAATTTTCAATTTTTATACTTCTGTTTATCACACTAGGGTTTTTGTCTTGTTTACATGTTTAATATTAAGCCTGTCATAGTCACAAAATCATATACCGGTTATGATAAACTAGATGGTTTCCGTTTGTTCGTAGCTGTTAGTCTGTTATTCGGTATTTCTAGTTGGTTTTTGCCTACTGCTTGCTAATATAACGAAGTCGTGCTTTATTCAGCCTAAATCCCCAAGGAATGAACAGACGGTACGAGAGACTCCTCAATTCAGCAACTTTTGGTACTGTTCCACAGCAGTATCTCAGAAGGACAGGATATCACAATCAACGTTCTTTTGGATATGGCCAAAAAAGAGGGGGTAATTCATCTAGTGGTAACTTCTGGCGATCTAGTGGTACTGGAACCAATAAGTCCCTATTCTCCAATTTATCAGACGCACCTCTTCCAACATCTGGACGAGCTGGTTGATATGGGTCTTATACAATTTACTGCAAATAATCACTTCAATACGAAACTCCTTGATACAAAATGAAAGACCGGTATTCAAACTTATCTCGGTCTTTGCAGATGACTTACTAGCTCATGTTTGTATGGGACTAATTTAATTATTTTTGATTGACTAAATGCATACTGTAAAACTAGTTAGTGCTTCTGTTGGTATAATACTGTTCGAAATAGAACTGTTTTGTATTTAAACACGGTTGCGTTTATTGTTTGTTGTAATTGCTTTTCGGTCTGACTGTTGGTTTAGTTTGAGCAATTTACATTTTTTGAAATATAATCATGTAAATACCTGTTTTGCAAATATTTGAAATAACTAATTCAGTGATCATTGCTCGTACACTTCTATGATGTTAATTGTATTTTTCGTGCTATCATTTAATTTAATTGTTTGCGAAGTATTTAGATATTTTGTTCACTGTTTGTAGACGTGAACTAATAGAAAGTAATCCGAGCTATTCGTAAGTTGAGCGAGTTATGCTGTCTTTTAGTCTGTATTTTATCAAGCTGTAATAGATGACTGTTGGTACGGAAAACGTTTTTTCGGGAAACATAGTACTAGGTTTCAATAGTCTTTTTCTAGACAGACTTTAAGTCAGTCAGTCAGTAACAACGTAGAACTTCGTACGTACGTACATCAGTTCGAGTTGCCACACCATATTAGCACAGAGATGCAGTTGTCGATTCAAATCCCGTAGTGGTAGAGGTAATAAGAGTATAAGCAGTAATCGGGAAGATTAGGGTTTGGAGATGTTATTTAAAGAGTATAATCCAGTGAAATAAATTTGGAAAGAGGGAAAAAAAGGAACATGAAGAATTCAAAGGATTAGAATTTGGGAGAACACAGAGAGTGGATGCACCTGCGCCATTGCAAACGATTTTGAGCCATGTCATTCAGGGTCTCTAACCATCGGTTGCTATCATCTCGCGGTCCCCAACCAGGTAGTCTACACCTACCAACATGACTCAGTTCACTTGTCAGTGACTTCATGGACTTGTGCCATGTTTTGGTTTGGCCGCCCCTAGCTTTCTTCCAACCTACTCCTATACCACTGAACATAGCACGTCGAGGCAGTCGGTTGTTGGGCATACGTAACAAGTGTCCCATCCATCTCAACTGATGAAGTTTCACTACGTCATCAATTGATTTGCCATCCTTACCTAGTACCCGTTTCCTGACAACTGTGTTACTTACTCGATGGTCCCATGATATACGAGCAATGTTTCGAAGACACCTATGATCAAATACTAGTAACCTATGGATATCCTCTACTCTTATCGACCATGTTTCACTGCCATAAAGTAGTACGGAACGAACTGCTGCGTAGTAAACTCGTCCTTTGGTTGATAGACGGATATCTCGCCTACTCCATAAATGGCGCAAGTTGGCAAAGGCTAGTCGAGCCTTCTGTATCCGTGCTGAGATTTCGTCACACACTAAACCACAAGGGCTGATGAGACTTCCAAGATAAGTGAAGCGGTCGACACACTCAACTACTTCACTCCCTATCACTAGTTCGGGTGTCGATGTAACTCAATCCTGAAGCAACATTTTACATTTCGAGCGTGAGAATCGCATTCCGAACATGCCTCTATTGTTGCATATAGTGGTCAGAAGACTCTGCATTTTGTCAGCGTCTTCACCAAATAAAACTATGTCACCAGCATATTCTAAGTCAACAAGTGAATCTCCTGGTAGAAGTTCAACCCTTGGAAATCTAGACGAGGAAAGTGTTATCTCTAAAAGTACGTCGACCACAAAGTTGAACAAGAATGGAGAGAGTGGACAGCCCTGACGAACACCACTTGAGGTAATCAATTCTGATGACAGTTCGCCATAAGCTCTCACTCGACCAGTTGTGTTCGAGTAGAGGGCCTTTATAAGGTTAATGTACTTCTTTGGTACTCCTTTCAGTGGCAAACACTGCCATAGAACCTTACGATCAACAGAGTCGAATGCCGCCTTAAGGTCGAGAAATACTACCATTGTGGGGCGTCTGAACGTGTGTCTGTGTTCTAGAACCTGATGTAGTGTGAGCATCTGGGCTATACAACGTCCAGGTCGAAAACCAGCCTGGTTTTCTCTAGTCTGCTCTTCACGAGCTTTAGTTAGACGTCGAAGTATTATTGAAGCTAATATTTTAGACACTATTTGTCAAACTGATTCCTCTGTGATTGTCACAAGAGGACTTTTGTCCTTTCTTATAGACTGGCACAATCAGTGATTGAGACCAGTCAGATGGGATTACATCCAGTTCCCAAATTCTACCTAAGACTTCGGTTAATCTCATTGCTAATACTGGACCACCATCCTTAAAAATCTCAGGAGTAAACCTTTAAGGCAACACGTTTAAACTAGGTATTAGATTACAGGTGTCTGCTGGCGTTCTTTTAGTTGACGGTATGGTCTTTATATTTGGTTTTTTTCTACCGAACAGCTGGTTCTAGTTGACATTCAGTAAAGCAAGTTTTCTGTCGATTGATGTACTGAACTGTTAAAATCATTAATCCGTCATGTGTGCTAGTAAGTGGAATCCATTACTTGCTCATGATCAATTTTATGCGTCAGAAATTTCTCAGTACATAGAAAATATGAGTGAAATTTGAACACTCCTGTTATGAAGTAATTAGGAATCGTTGCTTAAGTAGAAGAATTGGATAGTTACTTCTAAATATAATCCAGTGCTCTGTTATTGGGCTTTATTCTATATTTACTGTGTAGTAGGTAACGGAGTACGGAAATTAGGAGGAGCAAGAAAACTAGTTTCTTCTCGTCCAGAATTTGATATCGTTGTTCGTTAACGTTATATCATAAGGGATATACTATCCTTCTTCCCTTTTATTATTTTATACCAATACCAGTCACATCCAGATGATACACTGACTAACTTTTAGGATATATTGGTGTAAACCCGAGACCTTAAATTAGGAAGAGAATATCTTCGTAAGTTTTCCACCAGTTTGTGGGTAGATATGCGTGCCGGTAATTTGAGTAACACTATCTGGAGATGAATGTATTTTTAGCGTGACTCAACGAATCTTTGCACGATATGAGAGACAAAAGACTGATGGCTATGAACAATTACTATTCAAACATCTTGTTCGTGTTTCAAGTCACAACTGTTCTTTCGATAGGGATGGATTGTTATCTGCAATGTAAGTAATGTATTAGGTTTTCGTTTTCCTTCGCGGCTTATCATGCTAGTCCCTTATCGGAATGATGAAGTATGTTTCAAAGAATCCGAGTGTTAGGAAGGAACGTTAGTCTAATTTAAAATATAGACCCAGTTTTGAAGAGGATAACTTTTTTTGTCTTGAACAGGACTAGTATAGCGATATCATAAGTAAGAAGACCAAATATCTAGGACAAGAAGAATTAGTCAAGGATATAGAAATACCGAATTTAACTGTTTGAGGCCATAAAACATTACACAATTAACAAATAGTTACTTAATAATAATCTTTTGAGTGATAATTTCTGTATTCAGTACAGAGATAATCTACAACAACGACATTGCTCTCAAGCTATTCAATCCTACGTAAGCGTGACATTTAATACTCAAAAAGCAGTGTAACTCATAAACGATTCCGACTGAAATTTTGTTCCGTGTAAATTCAAATAAGCGATAATGACTACATAACTTGGGATGGGGATTATATTTTCTCACGAATCGACATTGGAAAACAGTAAATTAATGAATTACTAAGTTATATGACATGATAAATGTAAGTAGAGATACGAATAATGTTTCCCAAGAGCATAAAACATAAGGTAAAGTAAATGAAATGAATAGATCTTGGTTCTCATCTTAATTCTTTTCCATTACAAGTTTGGATAAGGTCTAGTGCTTAAAATATGGTTTGCTATAGTTTTATTGATTTGAAGAGTTTTTAGGGGAGTACTTCGTGAGGTCGCTGACGAACTCTTCAGTATAGTTGGCTTACGGATTTTTTTGATCAAGTAGTCCACTGTCTGGAAAAACAATACATGGAACTTTACTGTCCAAAGATCGATATGAGACAATCTTTGGCATCGTTAAATGTATAATTTCGTAATAATAATAAATGATAATAAATATCATTTCAAATGTCTAAACTATTAAATCCTACTGAAACAATTTAGTAGTCTCATTCAAATGACTAATGATAATCATATTATCTTCGAAAACTATTAGTTTACATACTATCCTGTCCACGTCTATCTGGTTTATGTAATCTATGTTTGAATTACACAATTATTATTCATCATCATCAATACCAACAGACTTATTCAGGTCAAGTGAATTGGATTCGAATCACAACAACTACTGACTGACTAAGGATATAACATTTATAAGTGGATAATTTGTCTTGATATTAAAATATTTACAATTTGTTAATAGGAAGTCAATATACCGTTTAGTAGTCAAGGGAAATACTTTTTTTCCTGAAAGAATAAATAAATATTTTGAGGATTTAATTATACTATCAACTATTGTGGCAATAATATTGTATTAAACCGATATATATATATAGTTTACTGCGCAACTCTTAAAGATGATATTTATCTTGTGGGTATCTAAAGAGAGTATGTAGTAAAGTTTCTCTCATGTGACGTTTACGTGTTTTGTCATTAAAATAACCCTAGTGAACAATAATAAAGCCTATATACAGACTTATCGTATAGCAAACAAAATCATCATAACATATGATAAGGTCAAATGTTCAGCATTTTAGATTTCTTTAATTGACCTTTTAAATTTTTCATAATTATTTCCTATTCAATAAATAAATTGTATCTGTAATTCACTTGGTATTGTGTACTTGAGTCTTCCCATTGATGTTTAGCACTGCAATTGATCAGTCTCTTGTTGGCATATGTGCATGCTGTGCGTATTGCATCGATATTACCTTAGTTCACAAGCATTATAGGATGAAACGAGTGTCCGAGATTCCACTGCTAGCCACTACCTATCTTTGCTTATAAT